GCCCTTGTGCTGGAAACGCCCGGCGCCAGCCGGCCGCAACGGCAACGACACCACCCTCCTGGCCACATGCCCACGGCACGCCGGCCCGGGAGGTAGGTGGCGCAAGACACGCGGCATGCTGGCCCGGGACAGGCACCGGCATGCTGGCAGGCGCCCCGGGCGGAGAATGCCACCGGCCGGCTGCCCAAAGGGGATCGGCCGCGCGGCGCCGCCCCGTGCGGTGGCCCGTCTGTCCCGCTCGCCGCAGGCCGGGCCAGTGCCCCCCCCCCCCTCCCCGAAGGTCCAGTGTCGGCTACGGCCGCACACAATGCCTGGCCGAGCGTAGGGAAGCGCGCGGAGGCGGTGGCGGCGGCCTGCCCGGGCAGAGCCACGGCCATGGCACTCGGCAGACTGTGGATGCCGGGCCCGGCGCCCCGGCAGCGCCGAGTACTTCGCGCCGGCGCTGGTGCTGCAGAAATGGACAGTCACCTACGGCACACCCATACACACACACACACATACATATATACACACACACACCGCGTGCTGCTCAGGCCCCTGGGCCCGCGGCGGCGTGCCCCGCCTCCGGAGGACACTACCCCTCTGCCTGGAGAGGGTGGAGTCCTGCCTAAGGACCCCAGCCCTGGCCATGCCCCTTGCGCCGGGCCGCGATACTCCTGCGCCCCCGGCCCCCTGGCGCGGAGGGGCCTGGATGGGTGCCGCCGGGCACGGGTCCGAGGCCGCGAGGCTGCAGCCGGCCCCAGCCAGGTGGCAGTTCGGCCAGCCGCACAGCCAGTGTCCTTGGCTGTTGGGCCTGCTGGCGCGAGGGTCTCCTGCCGAGGCTCCACCCGGGAGACGGGGGCGCGAGAGAGGTGCGGCCGGGGGAATGCTCCAGCGCACCCGCTGTAGCGCCCCTCGACAGGGGTCAGGCCGAGGAGGAGGGGCGCGGGGGGGAGGGGGGGTGGGGGGGGGGGGCAGTGGCGCTGGCGGCATCGGCGGTCGCGGTGGTGGCAGGCGCGAGGCCAATCCACCCTCCTTTGCCTCGGGCGTCGGATGCAGGTTGAAGTCCGACCGCCTTGGATTCCGGAAATGCTGAGCCCCGGCCACTGCCGTTGCACTAGCACACACCTCTCCCCGCCTCCTGCCCTCTGCCTGCCACATTATACACACATACATACACGCGACGACGCCCCTGCGCACAGCCTGCCCCTCCCCTCTGCTGCCACCCAGCGCACACACACACACACACACACACACACACACATATACATACATACAAACAAACAAACAAACAAACAAACACACGGGCATCCCCCCTCGTAGAGACTCTCGGTACGTTTTACACACCGGCATCTGCTTGATGCTTGCGCCTTCACCTTATCCCAGGGTCGGCCCTGCTTGTGAGTCCCCTCGAAGACTATCCGCCCACACGCCCTCACACCCGCGCGCCTGCACGCCGCCCACCCCCCCATCCGGCCCTCGCTGACCACCCTTTGCTTGGACCACCAGCCCAAACAGCATGACCATGGCTCCTGCCCCTGCGCGCTGCCACGGCGGCCGGCGCACCGGCGCGCTGCTGGCCACACTGGCCCTCAGCGCCATGGCGGCCTCGGTGGCCGCGGCACAGAACATCGGCTCGGGCTCGGCCGCCGGCCCGGTGGACCCCATCGACCAGCCCCCCCGGCCGCCGGCCAGCCTCATCCCGCCCGACCGCCAGATCGACCCGACCAAGTACTTCCAAACCGGCATCTACCGCTTCGGCTCGCAGTCGGTGTCCGTTTGGGCCGTGGACCCGACCAGTGGCCTGTTTGCCCGGCCCCCGGCCGGCAACAACAACAACAACAACAACAACAACCAGGCCGCGCCCGAGCCCACCGAGGCCCTGAGCTCCGGCATCCCGCTGCCCCCCTGCCCGGTGGGGACCGAGGGGCCCAGCTCCGAGACCGGCCCCTGCATCGCGGCCAACCGCACCCCCGAGCTGGACTACGTCCGGCCGAGCCTCGTGCACCTGGGCGACAGCGGGGCCAGCATCCCGCACGTCGTGGCCCAACACCTGCCGGACTACTACAACAGCCGGGGCTACACCTCGGCCGACCTGGCCAAGCTCCTGCTGCCGGGGTCCATCGAGCACTTGGACCAAAGCACCATGCGCCAAATCCGCGACGGCACCTTCGACGCCACAAGCACCCTACTGGGAGCCAACCCGGCGGCCATCACCACCGGCACCATGCCCGACGGCCAGACAACCCTGGTGTTCGTGGGCCTGCGTAACATCGGCGCCGTGGCCATCTACACGGTCGAGGAGAATGTGCCCTTCCCGTTGACCCGCGGCGAGGCCGAGGCGGCCGCCATGCGGCCCCGGGCAGCCGACGAAAATGCCGGCGACAGTGCCGGCGGGTCCGGCAGCGTCAGCGGGCCCGGCAATGCCAGTGCCCCGGGCAGCGAGGCCCCCGGTGACGCCGCCGCCGCCGCCGCCGGGCCCGGCACCCCGGTCAGCCTGCGCTTCTGGAGCATCCACAAGGCCAATTTCGGCCACTTGGAGCCGGCGCACTTGCTCTTTGTCCCGAGCCCCGAGCCCCGGGTGCCGGCCCGGCTGGTGGTCGGCTTCAGCCAAAGCAGCACCCTGGTGTCGTACGACATTGAGCCCCTCTATCCGGAGGGCGAGGCGCCGGACCCGGCCACCGGCGGCCCGGCCCGGCTGATGAATGGGGTGAACCTGCGCGAGGCGGGGACCTTCGCCGCGTCGACCCCGGCCGAGGTGGCCGGCTCCGGCAGCGGTGTGCAGGAGGTCGATGACCCGGACAATCCGGCCCACCTGCCGACCCTCTTCGAGCCCATGCAGACCGGCATCGATGGGTTTGTCGATGGCCTCCATGACCCGGTGACCGAGCGGCTCTTCTTCATCAACAGCCTGCAGCAGGCGCTGTATGTGTTCGACGCGGCCACCGGGCTGGCCGGCAAGCCGCGCAGCACGCTGGACCTGCGCCTGTACGGCTACCCCACGGCCCTGGCCCTGCATGATGGCGTGCTGCTGGTGACCATTGCCTCGTGTCGGTCGGGGACTCGGTCGCGCCGCTGTCACGATGAGGCGGCCCACAACCGCGGCCAGCTGGCCATGCTGGAGGCGGCGTCGCTGCGGCGCCTCGGTGTCGTCCGGGTGGGCTACCACCCGACCGATGTCGAGGTGTCGGCCGACGGCCGGTACATCGTCGTCACCAATGCCGGGTATGCCAATGACGACCGCGACGGAGCGGCCGAGGCCAAACCCTACGACCCGGAGCAGGCCTCCAGCAACGAGGGCGAGCTGGCCGGCGGCAGTGACGCCTCCGGCGACTCGGGCTCCCTGCCCTTTCCCTACCCCTTCGAGTCGGACTCCGGCGATGTGCCGGCCTTCCCCAACGGCACGGACGACCTGTCGCCGATGCCCGAGGTGGCCGGCCGCCTGGCCCCCAGCTCGGCCATCCCCATGCCCACCATCCCGCCGCCCAACAGCACCGTCATCGACCCGCCCGGCAGTGTGTCGGTCATCGTGGTCCAGGAGAACGGCATCTTCCACCAGAAGATTCCCAGCCTCAATGACTTCGATGTCACGGATCTGGATTTCTCCGAGGGGCTCGACGATTCCATCATCCTCTATGACTCGAAGAGGCTCGACTTGGAGGTGTGTTTGGCGCTCCTCCCGCCTGCGCGCGCGCCCCTATGCCCCTCCTTTGCCACGTGTGTGAGAAGGCCTTTCTGCGGGCGGATGTGGGCCCGGGGGACAGGGGGGGGGGGGGGAGCCTGCCAGGGAAGGCCGGGCCTCCCCGCGCTCCGTGTCCCCCGCCTTCCCGCGGCCCCGCCCGCTCATCTTGCACACGCACACACATGCACGCTTGGACAAAAGTCACTGACGCACCTCTCCCACACGACCCGCGCCCCCCCGCCCCCTTCCTGCGCTTGCGCCGTAGCTCGAGCCCAACCGTGTGGCCTTCACCTCCGACCCCAGCGTGGCCATCATTACCATGCAAACCAACAACGCCTGGGCCATGCTGGACCTGACTCGGCTGGAGCTCGTCAACTCCGGCACCTTCGGCAGCCTGGACCACAATGACCCGGCGGCAGATGTCCCGGTCGACAGCAGCTCGGTCGATGGGATCCGCATGCAGCGGCTTCCCATCAAGTCCATGCGCATGCCCGGCGCCATGGCCCCCCTGCGGCTGAACAGCGGCCACACGGTGTTCGTGTCGGCCGATGGCGGGCGCATCCGCCGGCCCGGCCGCCATGCCTCCCGCCTGTCGGAGCTCACCTACGACCCGCGAGCCTTCCCCGGGGTGGATCTCGAGGGCTTGAAGGACCCCCGCATGGCCGGCGATCTGGTGGTGGCCAACTGGGCCTCCTTCGACAGCCTGTCGCCGGTCGACGGGGATGAGGACTACACCAGCCCCATTTTCATCGACAGTGGCAATGCCGCCGCCCCCGGGGCCGCTCGCGCGGCTGCCGGCCTCCTCGGCTCCGGGGTGGCTTCGATAGCCGCCATGCTCACCGCCGCTGCGGTCATGCTGGTCCTTTAGGGGAACCCCTACGTGTGCGCACTCGCGCGCACACACACACACACACACACTCTCACAGACAAAACGCTCAAAAAGAAAACCACGCATCCCTCCCCCGGCCCTGAATGGAGACATGGCGAAGGAGGAGGGAGGCCCGTGCTCATGCGTCTACTCACATGGAAAGAGGTGTGGCAATGCTGTGCCCGCATTCAGGCTGTGGCGCGAGGCGCGCAAGAGGCATCCCGCGTGAGAGGGTGAAACCGGGTAATACGCAAGTGCAAGTTGCCTTTCCCCCGCCCCCCCCCCCCTCTCACTTCTTCACCATCTCTCGGTGTCTTTGTCTCCCATCCCGGCCATAGAGCCGTCGAGGAAAAAAAAGCACGCGAAAGCGACCGAAGGGAAAAAGTGAGACACCAAGACCAGTGAATAAGTTCTCGCTCTCTCCCTCTCTCCTTTCCTGTCTCTCTCTCTCTTGCACTATGGGCAGACATATTCCCGACCCGCCCCCCCCCCCGTGAGTCCGCCTCCGGCCGCCATGGGTGCCCCTCCGCAGAGCCGCCTGGCATGCGCTCCCCTCATCACACGCATTTATACATATTTACTCCAATATGTATACAGGGCCCCTCACACCTCGTGGGGCCCCGTGAGAGGAGAAGGTCGCTCGCTTGGTGGCACACCATGTGTGTGTACACCCCACTCTCGCTCCCGCTCCGCCCCCCCTCCTCCATTAGAAGCCATATAGATTTCCCCGTATCCCTTCGTTGCCGGTTGCGTGTACACCCCCTCTCGCGCCCACTCGCATGGCGCGCACAGCATAGCTCCTCTGGGGATGATGAAGAGGAGAGGGGTCATCCTTTCAGCTGAATGCATGCCCCTTCTACCAGCTGGTGGCCACCTCCCCTCGGGAGGGATTCGTGCGAGGGAGAGAGGGGAACAAAGAAAGATGGTGGGAGGAGCAGGGAGGGCTCTTCGTCGCCTAGTTGTAGCTGTGAGCTCGAGAGATGGATGACGGAATCGGTCCAGGGGCATCCCCATCTGAGTGTGGTAATATGGCTCCCTGCGTGCTCTATGCACAAGCTGCGCACGTCCGACAGCACCAGTCCCCACCGTGTCGCTGTGCTATCTGCACCGCGGCCGGAAGGCGGGGGCTTGCTTTTAGATAGTGACCGGGGTGTCCTGTGCCCTTTGTCACCGCCGCCACCCTCACGATGACCTCGACCACCACCATACAGGAACAGGCCAAGGAGGAGCATGGCCAATGGGGAGGCCAGCACAGGCGCCCGGCGCATTTCCCCATCTCCCACCAACACACCCAATTACAGCATACTCCCTCCTACTCCAGGTGAGGTGTGTGTGAGGTATGGGCGTGCGTGTCGCGTGCTACGAGCGGGCTTCGCCCTACTTTTTGCGGACGACAATAGAACGACGAAGGACCAAGGGCGCGTCCAAAACGCATGGGCGCCAGGTGGGGGGGGGGGGGGCGGTAGGAACCTCGCCATCTTTTTCTTGCTCGGCTCTGGACGATCCACGGACAACAGAAGGGGGGGGGGGCGGGGCGGGGGGGGAGGGTGCGATTGCGGGCTGTGGGACCAGGGCCGTGTGCGTGATCCTCTGTCTGCTGCCCGCGTGACAATGTCGCGTGACCAGCGACGGCCTTCTCTGGTCGGCATACCCCCCAAGAGTGGCCCACCCGCCGGCGCCCGCCAGCCGCCCGGTGAGAGGATCCGTCAGGGCCTGGGAACTGGCCCAAGGCCCGATTGGAAGTTGGGCTTGGCCCCCCCCCCCCCATCCGAGCCAGGCCATGGGCGCCTGGGGGGCCAGAGAACTTGGGCTTTCCCTGGCCAGGGCACGTTCTCCGGGACGGGCATCTCTCTCTCTCTCTCTCTCTTTCTGGGCAGGGCCTGTTGGCGGTGTCCGCGACCGGCCCGGGGTACGGGAGGGAATGCTTGAATGATCTTCACTCGCCCCCCGTCCCCATCCGGACTTCTCGTCTTCTGTCAGATGCCGTCGACCGGAGATGTCCGTCCTGGACGCGGGCGCCTTTTTCCGGCCCCACACCCCGGCCCATGGCCCGGAGTCGGGGGCACCCATCGCCTTCCCTCTCTCCCCCCCCCCCTTGCTCCTCTCCCATCCCTCGCGCCCCCTCCTCCGTGCCTCACTCTCACTTCCAGGCAACCGGCAATCGGCCCGTGACAAGCAAGATATGGTGCTCGTCGACGCCTTTCGTCGCTACTTTGGCGACATGATCAAGGAGCCCGGCTTGAAGACCTTGATCCTGGACGAGGAGACCGTACGAACAGTCGCCACCACAACCGGAGCATCCTCGCTGGAGCCTGTAGTGTCTATCGAAGCTGACCTCCCCCCCCCCCCTCACACACACACACACACACACACACACTCCCCAATCCTCTTTCTCTTCCTGGCAACCGGACACCCCAGTCGGCCATGACCTCCCTGGTGTTCAGCCAGACGCAGCTGCTCCAGTCGGACATTTTCCTGAATGAGCGCCTGTCCGACTCTGGCCTGACCACCATCAACATCGGCAGCAACAACCCGGTGTCCAGCTCGTCGATGGCCTCCTTCAAGTGCATTGTCTTCATCCGCCCGAGCACCAACTCCATCTCCAACCTGTGCACCGAGCTGCGCAACCCGAAGTACGGCTCGTACTACCTGCGTACGTCCCTCGACCCCCTTGCCCCTGGTGGTGCTATCTTGTCCGGGCACCGGCGCATGATTGCTCACCCGCCTCGCTCCCACTCCTTCGGCATTGGCGGACGCAGACTTCTCCAACATCGTTTCCCAGGAGGACATCAATCGCCTGGCCAACGCCGACAAGTATGGCCTGGTGCAGAAATTCTTCGAGGTCTTCGCGGACTTCTATCCCCTGGAGCGGAACATGTTCTCCAGCGATGTCAAGAAGCTGTACATCAACGACCCGGAGTCCTGGAATGAGCTGGCCCTGCGCCGGTCGGCCGACTCCCTCTCCTCGGTCCTGCTGTCTCTGCGTCTGCGCTGCCAGATTCGCTTCGATGTCACCAGCCCCATGGCCCGGTCCTTGGCCACGCTGATGCGCGTACGTGGTCGCATCTCTGGCCCGTCCCCCCTGCCCGGACCCGTAACTGACCTCGCATTCCGGCCTCTGCTCCGCCCTTTTCCATGTCCGCTCGAACACACGGTCATATGCAATCCCATGTGTGTGTGTGTGTGTATGTGTATGTGTGCACATCCATATGGACACACAACCAAACACACGCACTCACAGGACCGCATCCAGCAAGAGAAGGCCCTGTTCGACTTCAACTCGCCGGCCACTCAGCTCATCATCCTCGATCGCCGGTCGGATCCCATTACTCCGCTGCTCCACCAGTGGACCTACCAGGCCATGGTGCACGACCTGATCGGGATCAACAACAACATTCTCAAGCTCAATGACAACAAGTCCGAGGTGACCGTGCGTGCCGCTTCCCTTCCGGAGAGCCTCCCTTTTCCTGCGGTCCTCAACACACGACGCCCCCGGCCTTTTGTCGGCTGCCTCTTCCCCCCCCCCCCCCCCTGTCCAGGAGCCTCACACCCTCTTTCCCCGCCACCGCCACCATCCCCACAACCGCAGGATTACGTGTTCAGCGAGATCCAGGACCCCTTCCTGCGCGAGATCATGTTCACCAACTACGGCGACCTGGGTGATGTCATCAAGCAGCATGTGGCCAAGCTCCAGGCCAAGACCGGCAACAATGCCCGCCTGGACAACATCCAGGACATGAAGCGCTTCATGGAGCAGTTCCCGGAGTTCCGTCGGCTGTCCGGCAATGTGGGCATGCATGTGTCCGTCTCGACCACCATCAGCAACATGACCGACAACAATAAGCTCCTCCAGGCGTCCGAGGTGGAGCAGCTCCTCGCCACCGAGGACGAGCAGAGCTCATATGTCAAGGTGCGCACCGGACCCCCGGGCCTGCGTGCACGTTGCAAAGTGGGCTGGGTTTGGGTTGGGGCCTTTTTCGCTCGTTCTCCCCGCTGACGGTCCATTCGCCCGGGGATGCGCCCTCGCCTGCCTGCCTGCCTGCCTGCCTGGTGATCCCCTTCCCCCTCGGCCACTTCAGATGGTTGCCGGCCTGATTGAGAAGATGAGCCACTCCATCACTGGCATGCGCCTGACCCTGCGCTCGGTCATCATCTACGGCCTGCGCTATGGCAACTCGCCACAGAGCGCGGCCAACTACAACTCCCTCATTCAGACCTGGTTCGACTTCGCCATCCGTCTGGGTTACCCTGATGTGGATCGCGTCAAGCGGGTGCGTGCCTTTCTTTCCTCCCACCATCGCCACTGCCACCGCCTCCGCCATGTGGGACGAGCAGGGGGGGGGGGGGGGGGGGGGGGGGGCGGGGGGGCGCCCTGCTCGTAGCCCGCAGACACGCTACGCGACAACCTTCTCCGGCCCATGGCAAGCATCGCTAACTGCCCCGCACAATGCCTGCCTCCGCATGGGGCTTTTTGTCCGTTTGCGTGCTTGGCGGCTGTAGCTCCTTACCCGCATCCACGATATCACCGGCATCACTCGGAGACAGAAGGCCGGCATCACGCCTGCCCACCTGGACATCACCAACAGCAAGAAGCGCTTCACCGGTTTCGCCGGCGAGGACAACATGTTCACCAGCCATCAGCCGTACTTCCTCAAGGGCCTGGACAAGGTCCTGGAGGGAAGCCCCTTCAATGAGTGGGCCTTCATCGATGGCACCCCGACGCAGTGCGTGACGCCCACTGGCATGACGCCCTGGCATCCCCATTCTCCTGCGATGTGTTTGCACGACAAAAAGACATCCTAACATCCATATGGCCTCACCATCACCACGCGCGCGCGCGCTCGCATACACACGCACACACACACACACGCACACGCGCACGCACACTGGCCCAGGCTCGCCCCCGCTCGCAACGTCATTATCTTCTTCATTAATGGCGCCACTTACGAGGAGTTCCACTTTGCGGCGCAAATCAACAAGCGCGCCTCCATGGCCAAGCCAGACATCCCGGGCCAACACAACTACCGCCCGGGCAATGTGACCAACCCGGCACCCGGTACCCGGGTCATCCTCGGTGGCACGCATATCACCCGTGCCTCGGATTTCATGGACTACCTCCTGGAACAGGTTCGCCTTTGAATGCGACTCACCGCGCATCCATGGGGGACCCCCTGATGCACCTCCTCCTCCTTCTCTCGCTTCAATCAAATACACAGCGGTGTTCCTTCGAAGAGGTTGTTCCCTTTCCCCTGTTCACTGAGCTCTGTACATTCGACGTCGTGGGGAAAAGAGGGGCAGGGAGAGAGAGAGAGAGAGAGAGAGAGAGAGAGAGAGAGAGAGATCCCTTTCCCCACAAATGTCCGGAAAAATACATCCCACAATGCAGGCCCCCCCCCCCCTCTCACCTGGCGCCTGCCACAGGGTATCCGCCCCCGGCAAAAGGAGGGCCTACAAAGGATGTGCGCAAACGGCAGCCGCCGCCTCTTGAGTGACAACATTATGTATTGGATGATTGAGGGAGGGGGGGTTGGAGAAGCCGCCGTCCTCCCGGCAAAAAAAGGGGGGCGAAGGACAGGCGTATATGCGGCGCACGGTGGTGGCGGAGGGGAACAGTATATGCTCGCACTGCCCTCCGCAGACATCCCTACCCCGAAAAGGGCGAGGAGAAGGGATCGAGAGGGAGATATATATATATATATATATATATCGCTGGCGAGACACATGGACACACACAGACATACACACACGCCGGGCCACACCCACGAAGGGAGAGGGAGAGGGCAGAGGAGTCGGGACACGCATGCGCCTCCTCGGTATGGCTATCTCCTCCCTTTCTGACACACGCACACACATCCACCTGTACACAACGCCTGTTTTACAGGGGGGGGGGGGGGGAGGAGGGGAACACGGGAGCAGAAAAGGGGGAAAGAGGAGCAGAAAGAAGGAGAACGAGAGCGGGAGAGCGAGATAGACAGGGAAGAAGAAGCCTCAGCCCTCATTCGCATATGCGCCTCCTCGCGCGCTGCCCTCTCCTCCGATCGCCTTGGCCTGTGGCTCCGCCACTCTTAAACCTTGCGGCTGGACTCCTTCAGGCCGACGGTCCGGTTGAAGACCGGAGTGGCGGTGCCCGAGCCAACGGGGGCCGACTCGCGGTCCAGGCAGAAGAAGCCCACACGCTCGAACTGGAACTTGTCCTCGGGCTGGGCACCGGCGATGGAAATGTCCGCCAGGGCACCCTTGACCACCTGCAGGGAGTCGGGGTTCAGATCGGCCAGGAAACCCTCAGGGTTGTCCTCCGGGTTGGAGGTCTGGAAGAGCGGGCTGTACAGATGGGCATCGATGGTGATGGGCGACCCGCGAGCCGGGCAGTCGGCCACCCAGTGGATGTAGGCCTTGGGGCGCTCGGCGCGGGGGAAGTCCGCAGACAGGGAGTTGGGCTTGTACGAGCACTCGATGTGCTGGATGTCCCCGGTCTCCGGGCAGTGGACCACCTTGTCGCAGGTGATGACATACGCGCGCTGCAGGCCGACCGACCCGCCGGGGGTCAGACGGAAGAAGTTGGCCTGCTCCTCGGGCGAGCTGAAGGTCTCGCGGAAGTCCGACCGATCGATGAAGAGGGTCCGGCAGAAGGGAACCACATTCATGCCGGCCGACTCGTCGTGCGGGAGCTTGGGGTAGGAGATGTCCTCGATCTTGCCCTCCTCATAGTTGGTGATGATGACCTTGATGGGGTCGAGAACGACTGGCGGTCGCAAGGGCAGGGCCGGGGGGGGGGGGGGGGGG